CTCCTTCTCCTTCTCCTTCTCCTTCTCCTTCTCCTTCTCCTTCTCCTTCTCCTTCTCCTTCTCCTTCTCCTTCTCCTTCTCCTTCTCCTTCTCCTTCTCCTTCCCTAATGTATATTTTTACTACATCTTCCCTAATTCATACCTAGCATACAGCCATAAACTGTAGGGGCAAGGCATGAATTAGAACCTTGTAAAACGTGTAGACTTATTTCTGTACAACTCAAAGCAGGAACTAAACAGTAGGAAAAACTGAGCCTGTTTTTTTTTCCCCCTTTCCAAGCTAAAAAGGGCTCTTCACAACATTTCATTGTGGATTTAAAAAAGGACATGATTTTGTCATCATTTTCCCCCTTCCCCTTTAAATCTTCTGAATAATCAAAATGGAGTGTTGTGGTGTGGTGGGATTCCAGAATAAGAGCGGGGATTGAATAAGTGGAGAAAGGATTACACTGAAAGGGGAGGGGGCGCACGGGTTTTCCTCCCCTTTCTAGACTCTCATGCCTGAGATGTAGAAAAATGTTTCCCCTGTCTGTGGCATGCAGGAAGATGTCCCTAGGGTTCACGCAGAGCTAACTTTGAAGACCAGTTTTTTATGGAAAAAACAGGGCTTTAAAAAATATATATATATTTTTAAATACAAAGAGAAGATGGATAATATGTGAGGGAATGCATAGTTCTGGAGGAGTGAAAGAAGGCCCCGCAGTGATGGGGAATAGCTGAAAATATTGACAATCTGCCCCTCCTTGTGGTATTGTGACTGGGCAATGATGCTGTTTGGGCACCATCTAGGGCTAGAGAAGCCCGTGGATCCCACACCCCATTCACTTAAAGAAAAGCATCAGACGGTCCTATTCTGTCTTCTTGCCTTCCTTCTTAATCCTCTCTTAGAGCAAAAGATGGTGATTCTCGTCATCACCCTACAGCTCCTCAAAAGGGCAGGCCAGCCTGTTTGGTCGATGAAGTGCTGTGTGAATGTTCTGCTTTCGACACACTGTTCTCTCTCCCTCCATCTGCAACCTCTCCGGCTCCTTCACATGCGGTTGGAGTGGGGGAATCCAAACCTTGCAAGGTAGAAAAAGAGAAAGACATAGAGTTTGGGCTTTCCCCCCTCTCTCACATAGGTTATTCTTCCTTGGGTTTTTAAACTTGTTTTTCTGGATGTATAAGTTGCGGTGCCCCCCCCCCCCTGCAATGGGAAGTCCAACGCGACAAGATTTTTGGTGTACTCCAACTTTTCTGCCTTCCCATCACTGGGATCACCCCTCCCTCCCTCTCTCCCTCCACCCCACACACCCTTTGATCTTAATGTCTTGAGGAAGAAACTGGAAAGAGGGAAATGGTGCCATGACACACATCACGTGGGACCTATTTTTATTGACCTCCCAGGTCCAGGTGTTTCCTGAACAAAGAAGAAGAAACCGAAAGCCAGGAGTGAAATGGAAACAGCTCCTAGCTCACCTTCCTTTCCATTACCACCCTCCATTGGCAACTTTGGTGGGCTGGGGGAGGTGGGAGTAAGTCCTAAAAGATTGTCTTCCCCCCGTCATTTTGGGGGCCTCTTGACAATCCAGTCCTGTTTTCCTTTTCTTGAAAAGGAAGAGTGAATTGAGACCCCCCTAGTACAGGTATGTGCCTGTTCTCCATTACGGCTCCATTGGGGCTGGAACCTGATCATGGTTGTGCCAGACCCATCACTATGTATTTATTTATCCATGCAAGCGTTGCTCCTTGTTTCCATTATGTTCAGCAAGAAGAGATTTTGTTGTTGTTTGGGTCAGAGTTGATCTTTCTTCAGCCCGGCACTTCAAATACAAAGTGAAATGAGATAAAATATTATTTGCAGGGGGAAAAGGTATGGGGATTAATTTCCCATCTTCCTTTCCTCATCGCCTCACCCCCCAAGTCCAACCTCGCTTGCTTCATTTGTAACTCCCAGATTGTGCCGAGATCACCCTGCGATACCTAGAGCAGTAAATTAAAAACAGTTCGAAAGAGACAGAAAAGGAATTATCTAGAGAAAGTAGTTTTATCTGGTTGAAATGATGCACAAAATTGTTGTCCTCTTCCTCCTTTGTTTTCTTTCTAGAACTCACGTTTTATTACAACTGAGTTTTTTTCCCCCCCTCCAGCATCCAAACCTGCTACAGATCATTGGTTGTTTCTACTTTCCTTCCACACAAGCCCATCCTTTTCTTGGGACCACCAGATCCAATTGGGCCTTTCCATTTAGCATAAGGTCACTCTGTTTAACTGGCCAGCAGGAAACTGATTCCTACATCCCAGCTACATTTGTGGCAAGATACCAAGGAATCAGATCCTTTGCCAGCCAAACAATTACAGAACCAGCCAACTGAAACAGACCAGATTGCTAACCATGGAAAGCCAGTAATTTGCTATGCATATTGCTAGGCAGGAATGCAGTGTGAGAAGAGCAAAAAGCTGGTGTAATTTGCACAGGTGACTGGATGCACACTGAGGTAGCCCACAGGACCAACAACATTAGCTATGCTTTAGGACTTACCTGGAAGGACAAGCTTTTCGTTTTTTGTTTTAATCCAGCATCTAGGCTGAGAGCAAGATGCTGGTTCAACACAGTGTTGTAGTTCAGCACCGTTTGGAGTTGCTACCCCTTCCCTGGAGTGATAGGAGAAATGCCTGCGTGCATCTCTTTCTTCAATGTTGCCGTCCCAAATGCAACTTTAAACACCTCTGTTGAATAAATAAATGAATGAATAGCATCTCTCATTTCTCATCTTGGACCCACAGGAGAATCCTTGAGCTTTGCTGATGATTTACTCTCTGGCCTTGGAACTGCGTGTGTCGCTGCTGGTAGGACCCATGGGGATGGTCAAGATGTCAGTCTTTACTCTGTCATTTTCAAATGCTTGGAGCCTGATGGATTGTACAAGTAAGCAAAGGGAAGACAGGGAGGGAGGGGGGGATAGAGGGAGGGATATAAGGGGAAATGATGTGGCGGCTCTCCTTGGTCTAAAGAAACTTGTGCTGCTTCTAACAGTTCAAAATCTGGATAGCCATAACACCAAGAATTTGAAGGTGAGCAACAGGTCCTGGTGAGTGAGATTCTGGGCAAAATTGGACCAGTTTCATTCAAACTGACTTTACCAAAAAAAAATCCATCTGTAGGGGGATTTCGCTCAAAGATGCTATCTTCTCATGTATCAGAACTATATTTCCCATAATGCCGCTAATTCTATCTAAGGAGTCAATACATTGTTAAGATATGTTGTTGGCCACAGTGATGTCTGTTAGGGGATGGGGTAACACACTTTGGAAGACAAAATGCATTGAGGGAGCAATTACATTTGTGGTCTTCTGGCATTCGAAAGGAGAGCTCCAATTGGTTATTGGAAGTTGGTTAAAGGCAGTTTGAATGTCCACAAGAGTATATTAATCAATTCAAAGCCTGGTTCGAAGGGGATATGTCTGTATCAAATGTACTTCTCCTCCATTCCTCCTTCTGGGATCTCACAGGGTTTGTCCTACCATTGGACAAATTGAAGCTGTCACCTGGCAGCAGGAGGGGCGAGAATTTAGTGATGCAGAGCCTCCCTTTCACCCTCTGAGTTCTCATTCTACCTTTAGATTCAATGGAGAATGTCAGTGTTAAAAGAAAGATTCAGTTGAGTTGCCCATAGAGTAGGAAGGCCACCATCTTGTCCTCAGGTGGTAGAATGACCTGGTCCACCCTAGATTTCCATTCCTGCTTTTTCTCAGCATTGCCACCCAAGATCCTGAAGAGGAAATGCTAAAGAAGGAATATGGGACCTTCTACATGGAAAGTGTTTTCTCCGCTGCTAAACTTGAATTGCTGAATAAAATGACTTCTAAGCCAGCATCAGCAAAGGATGCAAAATCCCATCCACATATAAAGGAATGACTCAATGGATGTACCACCCATTTCAGAAACATAATTTCTGAATAGCAACACATACCCACAGGATCCCTTCTGTGAGGCATGCTCAAAAACAGGACAAGGTCCCTGTTTTCACAGTCCAGGCTGCAGGATCGAAAAGCAGTGTTACATTCTGATCTACACAAACATCAGAACAACTCAGGCTTAGGGGTGCATTGCTCTTTCAGCTTTTTGCTCCTCCCCTTCCACCCCATCTTCCCTGGGTGTCTCTTTCGTAACTTACTTGCTTCTCCACCTCTCCACTTCTTGAGAGAAAACATCTTTTCTTGGAAGCTGTTGAAGTTGTTGACAATTCCATGGGGAAGTTGTGTTTTGAAGTTGCCTGTCAGGCAGACGCGTGCATGCTGAGCTGTGCGTTCCCCCAGTGCCCCTCCATCTCAGATTTGGATAACATGATCCAAAGGCCAAGTGGGACTTCAGTAACGCTCCAGCCCCTCTTTTTGCAAATTCCATAAATATTATTTAACATCCTGGCGGTTTGCATTGTCTGCATTTGGACTTACCTCAAGCAATTAGTCCCTACAATTGACCAAGTCTTTCCCTTCCCATGCACATGTTTCCTTCCTTTGATCAAAGCCAAGCTTGTGGCTTCTGAGAACAAACAAACAAACAGAGGGTGATGGATTTCTTTGCTTTTTCAACATCTGACATTTTAAAGAAACAAAAAAAAACATTTTATTTCTTTGCCTTTTTTTT